AAGATAGTTCCCTAACTTCAGGAAATTTATAGACAGGGAGACAGAAGTAAGCAAAGAATTATACTATGATTGTATTTAGTCCCAGTGTCAGCAAAGGTACCTCTGATATCAAACTCAGATGGGGTGAGAAGAGAGCGCAATGAAGGACATCTTACAGAGGGGTGGACAAGGTGAAAAGAACCAGCAGGTGATACTGAGGCACTCAGGGAGCCGCAGTGGCAGGGAGTCATTGCCCCCCACGCCTGCAGGGCAGGAGCCTCAGAGAGAGCCAAGAGAGGAAGGACTTCCCTGGGAGAGTGACACAGAAAACACGTTCAGTCCCAGGGCCACAGAAGAGAGAGAGAAGCAGATGGAGAAGCAGCAGCATCTCCATCCCTCTTTTCTGCTGCCTTCTAATCTCTTTTGGTGCCTGTAAGTGACCCAGCCACTGAGCCAGCAGCTGTCAAGGGGTTCAGGGGTCGGCCTCTTGGAGAAAAGTCAGAGCATGGAGGGCAGGACCAGGAATACCCAGCTCAACAACATACTGTTCTACAACAAAGGAAGAAGGGACAGAAAATCAGGAAAGACAGGGTTCAGGGACCCCATCAGAGAGAATGGGTGGCTGAGGGCTAGAATTTAGGCACAGCTCTGGAAACTGCACTTGGGGCAGAGGTCTCGGTGCCCTCATCTGTAAAAGGACAAGGTGGCCAATAGTTGCCTGAAAGGTTTCTCTCCCATCTCTTTCTGGATGTTGGTACTAAGATTAGCAGAGGCTGTAAAATAATAGGGTTGTAGTCCGTTTAGGATGAAGAACCTCAACACATGCTTTGTTGACTTAACCAGTTTATGTGATATAGGGTCAGATTTTGTTTCTTGTTTCTGTGCTGCTCTGAAGAGCTTCTAGAAAATTCTAGAAACAATCCATTTACAATATTTTGATATAAATATATTTACAATATGAAAATCTATGTGTATGGGGGCCTGCACTGTGGTGTAACAGGTAAAGCCACCACCTGTGGCACTGGCATCCCATATGGGCACTGGTTAAAATCCTGGCTGCTCCACTTTCTGATCCAGCTCCCTGCTGATGTGCCTGGGAAAGCAGCAGAAGATGGCCGAAGTGCCTGGGCCCCTGCACCCACATGGGAGACCCAGATGAAGTTCCTGACTCCTGGCTTCAGTCTGGCTCAACCCTGGTCATCACGGCCATGTGGGGAATGAACCAATGGATAGAAGATTTCTCTTTCTCTCTCTGCCTCTTCCTCTCCTTCTGTGTAACTCAGCTTTTCAAATAAATCCTTAAAATTTTTGTATTGATTTTGTTTGGAAGGTAGAGAGACAGAGACAAACAGACAGAGTTCCCATTCACTGGTTCTTTCCCCAAATACCAAATGACTGCAACAGCTGAGGCTGGGCCAGGCTGAAGCCAGGAGCCAGGAATTCAATACATGTCTCTCACATGGATGGCAGGGACCCAACTGCTTGAGCCATCATCTGCTGCTTGCTAGTGTACTCCCCAGCTGGAAGCTGGGATGCAGATTGGAGCTGGGATGCAGGCGCTCCGATGTGAGGTGTGATCATCTTAGTCGCTAGGCTAAATGCCAACCCCACGAACTTTCTAAAGTACTAACATATATGCAATTCTGAAGTACTAACATATATGCAATTTTCTTCTTTTTTTTTTTTAAGATTTATTTATTTATTTGAAAGGCAGAATTACTGAGAGAGAGAGGGAGAGACAGAAAGAGAGAGGTCTTCCATCCACTGGTTCACTCCCCAAATGGCTGCAACAACCGGAGCTGGGCCAATCCGAAGCCAGGAGCTGGGAGCTTCTTCCAGGTCTCCCATGTGGGTGAGGGGGCCCAAGGACTTGGACCATCCTCTGCTGCTTTCCCAGGCCATAGCAGAGAGCTGGATTGGAAGTGAAGCAGCCAGGTCTCGAACCAGTGCCCATATGGGATGCCCGTACTGCAGGTAGTGGCTTTACCTGCTACGCCACAGAGCCACCCCTTATATGCAGTTTTCATAAACTGAGAATTAGAAGTGTAACAAAGGAAGGTAAAACCTGCTGTTTGATATCCTGGAAAGGCAACTGAAATAGAGATTTCTCAGCCTCCTGCATAAAACAAAGCCCAGAAGAAGCTAGAAACTGAAGGAGAGTCTACTTCCAAGCATAGAAATGTCACTTGGGAGAGAAGGAAAGCGGGACATTGTTACATCATGTGGTTCTCCATGGGCCAATTCATAATGGCCACATCGTTCAAGATGTAAAAACATAGCTGTGGGCACCGGCACTGTGGCATAGTGGGTTAAGCTGAGGCCTGTGACGCCAGCATTCCATATGGGTACTGGTTCCAGTCCTGGCTGCTCCACTTCTGATCCAGCTCCCTGCTGATGCACCTTGAAAGCAGCAGAAGATGGCCCAAGTGCTTGGGCCCCTGCACCTATGTGGGAGACCTGGAAGAAGCTCCTGGCTCCTTGCTTCAGCATGGCCCAACTCCAGCCATTGAGGTCGTTTGGAGACTGTCCTGGGTCCATGACTGTCGTCTGACCCAACGCTAGCTGTCGTAGATATTTGGGGAGTGAACCAGAGGATGGGAGAGCTTTCTCTGTCTCTGTCTGCCTGCTTCCCAGATGCTCTGGGTTCAAATAAATAAGTAATAACAACAAAAACAATGCAGCTGGGCCACTGGCCACCGACAGGCGGACCTCACGCACCAGCTTCCTTCCGCTAATATTAGTGCCCACGAGAGTGGGAACTGGATACAGGGAAGAAAGAGGCCTCCCTCTCCTTCCTAGCAATCTGCAGGAGGCTCTCCCTCCTCTTTCCTCTGGCTTTCCACCGCGTTTCGTACTGCAGTCAGATCAAAAAGAGGAAGCTTAGATTTCCCTTTCAACTGATTTTCTGTTCCTACGGGACTAAGAACCACAGGCTGAAACCTGACACTCTAGTCTCTAGAGAGCAAGCACAGAGCCAGCGGAAGGGAAGGCCTGGAAGTGGACTATGAGCCAGAATTGGAGCAAGACGGAGGTTACCAACAAGAAATCAGAAACACCCATCAGTAGGAAAAAAAAAAAAAAGGTTAAGACTGTTAGAGTCAGAGCTAGAGCAATTTGATTCCATTCAGTTTAATTCAGTCTAATTCTCTTAAAAAGCCATTTAAGCACCCAGCACCCCTGTGCAGGAATTGTTAATATTTTGGAGGGGCTGGGGGCGATCAGGGGCACAATTTTCCCACCAAAGTTCTTTTGTGCCAAGTTCAGCTTATCTGGTTGCTGTTGCCACTGCTGACCCGGGGATTTCAGAGCGAGGCACCTGCCGCTCAGCAAAGCTCAGGCTGAGGACTGAATATCGTTCTCGGCTCCCATGGTAGCAGTAGCCCTCCGTGGAGGCAGCCGGTGGAGTAGAACATAGCAAAAGATGATGGGGTGCTCTGAGCCCAGGACTGTGCCCTCCACCACATGAAGACATAATCTCCTCTCCAGCCCTTCATAATCGAAGCCATCTGAATTAAGTGACTTCTGCACACTGAGAAACAGCCAGAACCCTGCCCAGTGTTTCCCATCAACGTGATAGTGGGCTTGACACCTGCAGATTAAGAAAGAATGGCCTTTTTTTTTCCTGGCTACTCTCCTCCAAGGTCACCAGGGTTGGATTCTCCTTTAATCCTTCAAGGTATCTACAAGTGTTGCCAGGGCTGTAGGCTGCCGCACCACCTCCAGGTGGGTGCGTCCCTCAGTGCTGCTCTGCTGGCCACGGAACGGAACTTGGAGCCGCTCTAGAGCGTGTGGGGTGCGCGCCGGGCTGCCGTGGCAGAGGACACTCGGTGAGAACTCGCGGCACAGGGTCTCGGGGCCAGGACTGGGGGATGGGGAGAACCGCTGCCCTCGCCGTGGGAGGGAGGAGCCGGGCATGCGCGAGCGCCAGGAGGGCCGCTGCCTTCGGATCCCACACTCCTGCCGCCGCCGGGACCCCGGACCTGCGAGCGGGGCCTCCACGTCGCGAACCCGGCCCCCCTCTCGGCTTGTCCTTACACCGCAAACGGCATCGCTCTGAAGGAATACAGAGGCGCATCACATAAGGACACAGTGGCCACACAGCTTGGAGAACTGGGAGGAAGACAGGCAAAATTCCAAGAACTCCAAAGGCTCCTTAGGAGTAAGAAAAGGAGAGGGGATGAGGTAGTCCCAAGAAATGAGTCTGTGGCAGCCATTCAGTGCAGTGGTTAAGATTCCGCTTAGGACACTGCCTGCCCTATCGGAGTGCCAGCTTTGCTTAGCTCCTCCACCTCTGATTGTTTCCTGCTAATACACACCCTGAGAGACAGGGCTGATCCCTGCCCCCAGGTGGGAGACCAGGCTCTAGCCTGGCTAGCCTGGCTCAGCTCTGGCTCTTGTGGGCATTTGGGAAGTGAACCAATGGACAAGAGATCTGTCTTCTCTCTGCCTCTGTCTCTTCACCTTTCAAATGAAATGAAAAAACATTTTGAGATGAGTCTGGTCAGTAACAAAACAGGCACTTTGCCAAGATAAGCATTTGCCACCAGTTCAGACCTTTTCACACCATTTTAAAATCTAGGACCAGGGCCGGTGCTGTGGCATGACCGGTAAAACCACTGCCTGCAGTGCGGGCATCCCATATGGGCGCTGGTTCGAGTCCTGGCTGCTCCACTTCTGATCCAGCTCTCTGCTACAGCCTGGGAAAGCAGTGGAAGATGGCCCAAGTGCTTGGGCCCCTGCACCCACATGGGAGACCCAGAGGAGGCTGGAGGAGGCTCCTGGCGTCAGATCAATACAGCTCCAGCTGTTGTGGCCATGTAGGGAGTGAACCAATGGATGGAAGACCTCTCTCTCTCTCTCTCTCTCTCTGCTTATTTGTAACTCTGCCTTTCAAATAAATAGATAAATCTTTAAAAAAAGAAAAAAGAAAATCTAGGAGCTTTTCACTCTTGGAGTGGTTCTGTGGCGAGTGATGTGACAACGATATAGAAACATCCACTGTGTTTCCAACATGTCCACAGAGCCCCATCCAAGTCCCCTACATGGAGGGAAAAAAAGTGTTCTCCAGGTGATCTGGACTCCATGACTATGGAACATAAACATTCAATCAGCAGAGGCTCAGAAATGGACCGACACTGAGGCCCTGCAGGGCTTTGGTCAGACGAGCAGAGATTTGTTCTGGAAAGGCACGGCTGGATGGGCAAGCGTGCAGCACCCCCACTACGGAGCTTCTTGCTGAGGAAGAATGACTTAACCCCTCCGTGCCTCTGTCGACAGAGCGGGAGCAGCAGTAGCACCTGCTTCGTAGGCGTTGGGCACGCTACACGGATTGCTACAAGAACCCTCAGAACCATGCTTTGCACCGAGGAAGCTTTCAGTAAGTGAGAGTGATGATTATTCTGCTAGTGAGAGGCTTGCTTGTACACTGGGCCAAAAGCATGAAATTGCGTGGTCATTATCTCAGAAGTTTGAACCCTGCTTTTAAAGTTATAGGGTGATAATGGGCCCTGTTTCGGCACAGGAATCAGTCAGACAAATCAAAACAAACACAAACACTTGAGTCCTCGAAGTTCCTTGTGAAAGAGAGGGAGGGAGCTGGTTTTTATGGCCCGCCTCCTGCATGCGGCTTCTGTGGGGGTGTCCTTCGTCCCAGTTTACACGGGAAAACGCTGGCGCTCGACTGAAGACCGGCTGCATCCGTGGAGGCAGAAAGGTTGGTGGTTGCCTAGGGGGAAGGGAGGTTGGGGAAAGAGGAGAGATGTTGCAGGTATGGGATTTCTCCAAGGGATGATGCAAATGTTATAAAAGCAATTGTGGTGATGGTTGCACAACTCTGTGGATATAGTAAAAGCCACTTAATTGTACACTTTAATAGGTGAAGTGTGTGGTATGTGATTCATAAAGTGCTTAGAAAAATTAAGTCCCTAACAGGCAGTGAGAAAGCCTGGATTCAGGCAGGGCCAGGAGGACCCCCAAGGGCCTGGTGCTGTTCATTGCATCAGGAGGCCTCCCACACACAGCCTGGAGCAGGGACACCCTCCTGGCCTAAGATGCTGAGGCACAACGAGTCCCCTGGGTGCTGGAAATGCGAGGGGAACCGAGAATACTCAGGTGCCTATGGGGGTAAAGGGATGAGCCAACAGCCTTTCTGGTGGCTCAGGGTGTTCTTGGGAGCCGCAGGGAGCCCCACCCCAATCCCGCCCTGGTACAGGGATCCTGAGGATCCTCAGAAAGTGGGACGGTGGGCAAGCCCTGCAGCAGTTCCACGCCGACCCCTGTGCTTGTCCACTCTGGGGGCTGTGAGTTTTCCCTGTGCCTTGCCTTCGTTTTTAGGAAAGCTCCTTGGGCCAATTCCCACCGGTCCTCAACCATGCTCAGCGGGGAAGGGAGGAAGACTTGATGTTTTTCCATGCTTGGGCCAGAGGGAGATGAGGAGGCTTGGTCTCACCGGTGCAGGTCCTCCCTGCTGTGGCTGACCCAGCAACCAGAATCATCCAAGCACGCTTAGCCCCAAGGGGTGCCAATTAGGAGAAGTTCACTGTGCACTGGGCCGCCTCTGTGACCTCACCCCAGGGTCTGCCTCCCTCAGCAGGCTCTTAGCCTCAGGTGGTCATCCTGGCTGCATTGCAAATGCATTCCCTTTACGCAGGGGAGCGATGCAGAGCCCAGCCTTATTTGATTAAGGAGATGACTCTTAGCATTATGGTAAAACCAGAACTAACAATACTGGCACTTTAAATGATATTTAGTTAGTAATTTATAAGCTATCCCCCCCACTTTTATAACATAGCTTACGATGAAAAGGTGGCTAAAAGAGTTACATAAGAGTTGTCAGTATTTATTTGACAGAGATAAAGAGAGACAGACACATAGAGAAAGCTCTGCTGGTTCATTCCTTAAATGCCTGTGGTGGCTGGGACTTGCCCAGGCTGAAACTGGGAGCTGGGAACTCAGTTCAGGTCTCCCAGGAGGGTAGCAGGGACTGACTACTTGAATCATCACTGCTGCCGCCCAAGGTTTGCATTAGGAGGAAGAAGGAGTCAGGAGCCAGAGCCTAACTTGCCGATATGGGGTATGGTGTTCCAATCCATGTCTTTTTTTTTTTTTTTCTTTAAGATTTATGTATTTGAAAGGCAGAGAGATACAGAGGGAGGGCGAGACAGAGAGAGAAATCTTCCACCCACTGGTTCACTCCCCAAATAGCCACAACAGCCAGGGCTGGGCTGGGCTGGGCTGAAGCCAGGAGCTTCTTCTGGATCTCCCACATGGGTGCAGGGGCCCAAGCACTTGGGCCATCTTCTACTGCTTTCCCAGGCACATTAGCAGGGAACTAAATCAGAAGTGGAGCACCTGGGATTTGAACCAGCACCTATATGGGATGCCGGGATCACAGGCAGTAGCTTTACCTGCTATGCCACAATGCTAGCCCCTCCAATCTGTGGATTAACTGCTAGACTAAATACCACAAGAACTTATTATGTTTTAAATATGTGAGAAAAACAGATGCTAAAATGGAAAGAAATCCTGCAATAAATCATTTTGATGAAAATAATTGTCACATCAAAATTTTTCTTTATAATTTTCTATTTTCCAGATTATTCATAAGTTTAAATCACTTTTACAATAGGAAAATTTCACTTTTTTAAGATTTATTTATTTATTTGAAAATCAGAGTTATACAGAAAGAGGAGAGGCAGAGAGAGAGGAAAAAATGTCACTTATTTTTTTAAAGATTTTATTTATTTATTTGAAAGTTAAGAGTTAAGACATTGAGAAGGAAAGACAGAGAAAAAGATCTTCCTTCCGTTGGCTCACTCCCCAAATTGCCACAACGGCCAGAGCTGTGCCGATCCAAAGCCAGGAGCCAGGAGCTTCCTCCGATCTCCCACACGGGTGCAGGGGCCCAAGGACCTGGGCCATCCTCTACTGCTATCCCAGGCCACAGCAGAGAGCTGGTTTGGAAGAAGAGCAGCCGGGACAAGAACTGGCGCCCATATGGGATGCTGGCACTGCAGGTGGAGGATTAACCCACTGTGCCACAGCGCCAGCCCCAAAAATGTCACTTTTAAACAAAAAATTAATAGAATAACTCTTTAAAATTTTTAAATTTCTACTTTTCTCATTTAAATATATAAACATGTATTATATTGATAAAAATTTTAAATCATCCCAAACTTGTCTTCTATAAACTTGAATTATCAAACATGAATTAAAGGTTATGCATTATCATTTATTTTTCACCATTTTTGAGAGACAGACATAGAGAGATTTTCCATTTATTGGTTCATTCCCCAGAGGCTTGCTACCGCAAGGGCCAGGTCACATTGAAAATAAGAGCTGGAACTCAACGAGGCCACCCACATGACAGGCAGGGACCCAAGTACTCCAGCTGGTCCCCTGCTGCTTCCCAGGGTATGTATGGTCAGGAGGGAGCTCAATCCAAAGCAGAGTAACCAGGAATCAAAGCAGGAAACAGGATGCAGGCATCCCAAGGAGCGACCTAGCTGCTGTGCCTCAGGCCCACTCCAAGGTTATGCATATATTAACCTGTATTCAATGTCAACACTGCCATTAAGTGCAGTTCCAGATATTTTGACCATGTCCAAGGAAGCCTGGCCGTCCTTTTGAGACTAGGAAAAGAAGTGGGCATTTGGCCTTGTGGTTGAAATGCCAGTCAAGACACCTGTGCTCCACAGGGGAGTACCTGGGTTCAATTTCCATCTCAAACTCCTGACTCCAGCTACCTGCTAATGCAGACCCTGTGATGGCTCAGATGACTGGGTACCAGCCTTGTGGGAAACCTGAATTGCATTCCTTGATCCTGGTTTTGTCCCTAACCTAGCCCTGGCCATGGTGGGTGTTTAGGGAGTGAACCAGCAGATGGGCACTCCTGTCTCTATCACTCTCTCTGCCTGCTAGATAAACAAGTAAACATTTAAACATTAAATTTGTTAAAAAACCAAAAAACTAGGAACAATTCAGGAGTGATTTCCATCTGGTTTTCCAAATCAGCTACAGGGAAGCCTGAATCAATACTGACAACTGTCTGTACACAGCCTCTTGCCTCTGTGCTAGCCATAGTGGCCCTCCATTACTGCGTTACGGGCCAAGCAGGTTTGTCTGCTGCTCCTGTTACTCAGTGTTGTAGAACAGTACTAACAGCTGAGCTTCAGTGGACAAACACTCCATTTGTCATCCTGTTTACCACTCAGTGATTGCTCTTGTGCACTCTTAGTCATCCTCCTCATGTCTTACTCAGCCAATGGAGTTGCAAAATCCCTGTGTCTGTGCGGCTAAGCCAGTTATGTTCCACCACCTTTCTTGTTGGTGATCTTGTCTTGTTTATTAAGTAAGTATGACTCAAGAATGAATTTGTTGAAACTGTTAGGTCCAGGGAAGGCAGAAGTCATGCAAACGTAAAACCTATTAAATCTTATCTTGTCTGTGTGGGTCTGTAACGTAGTCTGAAATTATATGTCAGCTATAGTGATGCCATATGTGTGGTACCTGCCAGCTCACCTAAAAGCAACATGACCCTTCCTCAAGATGTTTTTTTTTTTTAAGATTTATTTTATTTTATTTGAAAGGCAGAGTAACACAGAGGCAGAGAGAGAGAGAGAGAGAGAGATCTTCCATCTGCTGGTTCACTCCCCAAATGGTAGCCAGGAGCTTCTTCCAGGTCTCCCACATCGGTGCAGAAGCCCAAGCATTTGAGCCATCTTGTACTGCTTTCCCAGGCCTTAGCAGAGAGCTGGATCAGAAGTGGAGTAGCTGGGACTTGAACCGGCATCTATATGGGATGCCGGCACTGCAGGTGGCAGCTTCACCCATTATGCCATGGTGATGGCCCCTCCTCAAGATGTTTTTGATTTAGATTTTCAATGCATGCTTATTCCTTATTTAAATTTGGGGACTGTTTTTCAGATTGGAATTGTTTACTTACTAATGTTCTTGGCTATATGGATTTTAGGCTTACAGCAAAATTGAGCAGAAGTATAGAAATTTCCCATACAATCCCCTTCCCCCAGAACACACATACACACACACACATACACACACACACACAGATGACACCCTACATTATCAACATTCTCACTAGAATGGGACATTTGTTACAGTCAATGAATCTGCACTGACACATCTTTATCATTATGAGAGGCAGAGACAGAGTGACAGATTGAGAGTTGGAGCTTCCATCCGCTGGTTCACAGGCTGGAGCTGAGCTAAAGCTGGAGCCAGGAACTCAATCCATGTCTCCCACATGGTGGTAAGAACCCAGTCACATAAACCATCACCAGTGTGTTGGCATTAACAGGAAGTTGTAATCAGGAGCCAATCCCAGACATCTTAACAGACGTCTTAATTACTAGGCTAAATGCCCACCCCTAGGCTTCAGTCTTATGAGCTTGGATAAATGTATCATGACTTTTCTCCACCATTACAATGTCACATGGAGTATTTTCTCTGCTCTAAAAATCTCCTGTTCTCTGCTGATTTATCCCTTCCTTCTCCAATACCCTGATATTCTGTCTCTATAATTTTTCCTTTTTGTAGAATGTCATGTAGTTGAAACCACATGATATATAGCCTTTCTGGATTGATTTCTCTAATTTTTTTTTTTTTGACAGGCAGAGTGGACAGTGAGAGAGAGAGACAGAGAGAAAGATCTTCCTTTGCCGTTGGTTCACCCCCCAATGGCCACTATGGCCGGCGCGCTGCAGCCAGCGCACCGCGCTGATCCGAAGCCAGGAGCCAGGTGCTTTTCCTGGTCTCCCATGGGGTACAGGGCCTAAGCACTTGGGCCATCCTCCACTGCACTCCCAGGCCACAGCAGAGAGCTGGACTGGAAGAGGAGCAACCGGGACAGAATCCGGCGCCCCAACCGGGACTAGAACTCGGGGTGCCAGCGCCACAGGCAGAGGATTAGCCTATTGAGTCGTGGCACTGGCCAATTTCTCTACTTTTTAAGATTTATTTATTTATTTGAAAGAGTGACACAGAAAGAGGGAAACACACACACACACACACAGATCTTCCATCTGTTGGTTCACCTCCCAAGTGGGCTCAGTGGTCAGAGCTGGGCCAGGATGGAGCCAGGAGCCAGGAGCTTCTTTCTGGTTTCCCATGTGGGTGGTAGTAGCCCTGGAATTTAAGCCATCATCTGCTGCTTTTCCCAGGACCATTAACAGGGAGCTGGATTGGAAGTGGAGCAGGCAGGACTCGAACCAGCACCTGTATGGGATGCCAGCATCGCAGGCAGTGGTTTCATATGCTGTATTATGATGTCGGCCCCTGGATTGGTTTCTTTTACTTCACAATTCTTCCATTTCTTTTCATGGCTTGGTAGCTCATTGATTTTTTTTTTTTTAATTTTAGTTTACTTTATTTAGCTACTTGAAAGGTAGAGTGATGGAGCGAGGAGAGAGAGAGAGCTTCCACCTTCTGGTTCACCCCTAAAATGGCCACAACAGCCAGGCCCGGGCCAGAGCAAAGCCAGGAGCCAGGAACTCCATCCTAGTCTCCCACATATGTGGCAGGGGCCCAAGCACCACAGCCATCTTCTGCTGCCTTCCAGCATGTGTTCGCAGGGAGCTGGATTGAAAGCAGAGCAACTGGGACTTGAACTGGCACTCTGCTATGGGATGCTGGCATCACAAACAATAGCTTAAGCAGCTGTGCCACTATGGTAGCCCCAGCTCATTTCTTTTTCAGTCCTGAATAGTGGTCCATTATCTGAATACACTATAGTTTATTGATTCACCTGCTGAAGGACACTTTTGTAGCTTCCACTTTTGACAATTATGAATAAAGCTGCTGTACATATCCATGTGCAAGTTTTTGCATGGAGGCAAGTGTTTAGTCCTTTGGGTAACCACCCAGGAGTGTGACTGCAGATTGCAAGAGAATGGATTTGTAAGAAACTGCCACACTGCTTCGTAAAGTGCCTGTAGCATTTTGCATACCCATCAGCAAAGACTGAGTTGCTCCTGCTCCACTCCTCTCCTGCATTTGCTATCGCCACCGTCCTGGATTTTGGCCATCCTAAAAAGTGTGTAGAGGTATCTCATTGTTTAATTTGTATTTCCTTAATGACATAGATGTAGAGCATCTACTCATATACCTATTTTTCAGATGCATATCTTCTTTGGTGAGGTATATGTTAAGGTCTTTGATCCATTGTTGTTTCCTGGAGCTTTAAGAGTTCTTTTATGTGTGGGATAATATTTTTTGTAAGATATATCTGTTATAAGTGTTTTCTCTCAGTCCATGGCGCGTCATCTTCTTTCCTTGCCAGTATATTTTTCAGAGCATAAATTTTTTTTTTGACAGGTAGGGATATAGACAGTGGGAGAGAAAGACAGAAAGGTCTTCTTTCCATTGGTTCACTCCCCGAATGGCCACTACCGCCAGCGCTGTGCCTATCCGAAGCCAGGAGCCAGGTGCTTCTTCTTGGTCTCCCACACAGGCACAGGAGCCCAAGCACCTGGGCCATCCTCTACTGCCTTCCTGGGCCACAGCAGAGAGCCAGACCAGAAGAGGAGCAACTGGGACTAGAACCCGGTGCCCATATGGGATGCCGGCGCCGCAGGCGTAGGATTAACCAAGAGAGCCACAGTATTGGCCCCGAGCATAAATTTTTAATTTCAGTAAAGTCCAGTTTATCAATTACTGTGGCCTTGATGTATTTAAAGTCATTCACCCCAACCTCTCTACCAGATAAAAAAAAGGTCATAGCCAAAACCAAGGTCATCTACAGTTTCTCCTATGTTATCTTCTGTGAGTTTTTATGGTTTTGCATATTTATCTATGCTCTGTTTGGAGTTAACTTTTGTGAAGAGTGTGATGTCTGTGTCTAGACTAACATTTTGCATTTGAATGTCCAGTTATTACAGTACCATTTGTGGAAAACACTGCGTTTTCTCCAGCGTGTTGCCTTTTTCAGAGGTCAGTTGACTAGAGGCTGCCGTGGTGGGTAAAGCTGCCTCCTGCAATGCCAAGGTCCCATGTGGGCACTAGTTCGAGTCCCAGCTGTTCTATTTCAGATCCAGCTCCCTGCTAATGGCCTAGGAAAATCAGCAGAAAATGGCCCAAGTGTTTGGGCCCCTGCTGCCAATGTAGGAGACTGGATGAAACTCCTGGCTCTTGGCTTGAGCTTGGCCTAGCCCTGGCTGTTGTAGCCATTTAGGTAGTGAACCAGCAGATGGAAGATCTCTCTCTCTCCTTCTCTGTCTCTTCCTCTCCTTCTGTAATTTTTTCAAATAAAATAAATAAATCTTTAAAAAAAATCAATTGACTATGTATGTGAGTCTGTGTCTGGGCTCTCCATTCCATTCCATTGATATTTGTCTTTCTTCCACCAATACCACACTGTTTTGCTTACTGTAACTTTATAGTAAGTCTTGAAATTGGTAGTGCCCTCTTCAATATTGTATTGGGTATTCTGGGTCTTTTGCCTCTTTAAGCTCTAGAATCACTTTATTGATATCCATAAAATAACTTGCTGAGATTTTGATTTTTTGATTGCATTGAATCTATAGAGTAAGTTGGGAAGTACTAACATCTTGACAGCATTGAGCCTTCCTATCCTTACCTCTCTATTTAGTTCATTGTTGACTTTCTTTCATCAGAATTTTGTAGTTTTCTTCATATGAATCTTATACATATTTTATTTTTTAGTTTTATACCTAGATATTTCATATTTTTGGGTGCTAATATAAATGATATTGCAGTTTTAATTTAAAATTCCACTTGTTTGGGGCCGGCGCTGTGGCATAATCTGTAAAGCTGCCATCTGCAGTGCTGGTATCCCATATGGGCACTGGTTCAAGTCCCTGCTGCTCCACTTTCACTCCAGCTCTCTGCTATGGACTGGGAAAGCAGTAGAAGATGGCCCAAGTTCTGGGGCTCCTGCACCCACGTGGGAAACTTGGAAGAAGCTCTTGGCTCGTGGCTTCGGATTGGCACAGCTCTGGCCATTGTGGCCAAATGGGGAGTGAACCAATAGATGAAAAACTCTCTCTCTCCCTCTCTCTCTCTCTCTCTCTCTTTCTCTCTCTGCCTCTCCTGACTTTAAAATAAATAATCTTTAAAAAAAAATTCCACTTGTTCATTGCCAGTATATAAGAAAGCAATTGACTTTTGTATTTTAACTTTCAACCTTGCTAAACTTGCGTTTTAGTTCTAGAAGAGTGTTTTTATTGTTTTATTTTGGTTAATTGTTTTGGATTCTCTACATAGGTACCCCCATCATCTGTGAATAAAGATGGTCTTATTTCTGTCTCTCCAACCTATATCCTGCGTCCTCCCCTCCCCTCCCTTCCCCTCCCCTTTCCTCCCCTCCCATCTCCTCTCCTTTCCTTTCCTTTCCTTCCCTTGTTGCATTGTGCTAGCTAGAACTTCCAAAGTGATTCTGAAAAGAACTGATAAGAGAGGACATCTTTACCTTTCTCCTTATCTCCTTCACATTTTGTTAGTTTGTCCTAACTTTTTTTTCTTTAAAAAAAGAAATATTTATTTATTTGAAAGTCAAAGTTACAGAGAGAGAGAGAGGATCTTCCATTCACTTGTTCACTCCCCAAATGGCTGCAACGTCGGACTGGGCCAGGCCATAGCCAGGAGCCAGGAACTTCTTCTGGGTCTCCTATGTGGACACAGGGGCCCAAGGACTTGGGCATCCTCTGCTGCTTTCCCAGTAACATTAGCAGGGAGCTGGATCAGAGCAGAGCTGCCAGGACTTGAACTGGTGCCCATACAGGATGCCAGCACTGCAGGCGAAGGCTTAACCTGCTGCACCACAGTGCCCACCCCTGTCCTAACTTTTCTAAAGATTTATTTATTTTATTTGAAAGGCAGAATTAAAGAGAAGCAGAGGCAGAGACAGAGAGAGAGAGAGAGGTCTTCCATTCGAGTTCACTCCCCAGATGGCTACAACATACGGAGCTGCATTGATCTGAAGCCAGGAAACTGGGAGCTTCTTCCCGGTCTCCCATGTGGGTGCAGGGGCCCAAGGACTTTCCCAGGCCACAGCAGAGAGCTGGATCAGAAGTGCCCATATGGGATGCCGGCACTACAGGCGATGGCTTTATCCGCCATGCCACAGCACCGGCTCCTTGTGCTAACTTTTCAAAGTAGACTGCAAATATCTGATGATGAGGTGTGGAAGACTGACAAGGAGAGGGTTAGAACAAAGAGGCATTGTGGTAGAATGGAAAGAACAGTAAACGGGCCTGTGTTGTGGTGCTGCAGGTGAAGCCACTACTTGCAATGCCAGCATCCCATATCCGAGTGCTGGTTCAAGTCTCAGCTACTCTGCCTCCAGTCTAGCTTCCCGCAAATGTACTTGGGAAGGCAGCAGAAGATAGCCTAAGTACTTCGGTCCCTGCTGCCCTGGTGGGAGATCAGGGTGGAGCTCCTCACTCCTGGCTTTGGCCTGGCCCAGACCTAGCTGTTGTGACCATCTGGGGAGTCTTCACTCTGCCTTTCAAATAAATACGTATTAAAAAAAAAAAAAAAAAAAAAAAACCAGTAAACTGAGACTTAGGAGGACAGGGTCTGTGGGTGATTTCTCCCCTAGTATTTTTTTTTTTTTTTTTTTGACAGGCAGAGTGGACAGCGAGAGAGAGAGACAGAGAGAAAGGTCTTCCTTTTCCATTGGTTCCCCCCCCCCAATGGCCACTGCTGCCGGTGCGTTGCGGCTGGCACACTGCGCTGATCCAAAGCCAGGAGCCAGGTGCTTATCCTGGTCTCCCATGCAGGTGCAGGGCCCAAGGACTTGGGCCATCCTCCACTGTACTCCCGGGCCATAGCAGAGAGCTGGACTGGAAGAGGAGCAACCAGGACAGAATCCAGTGCCCTGACCGGGACTAGAACCCGGGTGCCGGCGCGGCAGTTGGAGGATTAGCCTAGTGAGCTGCGGTGCCGGCCTCAACTAGTATTTTGTGATGTAATCTTTCATACAGAAAAGCACCTCAACCCTTCATTCACTCTCCAGATTCTCAGGAGAAAGATCGTATTCCATAGCTTAGCAACAAAGGTCCTTGTCAATCAGATCCATGCAAACCTCTTGGGCTCGTGTCACACCCCCCTTTCATACACCTTTTACTAGTCTCCCATGCAAATCGCTCATCCGTGCCTGCGTTTGCGTTCCGGCTCTGCTCCTGACTCCAGCTTCCTGCCAACACACACCTTGCAGCCACTGGCGATGGGAGAACTGGACTGGGTTCCCAGCTCCTGACTTTGGATCTGATCCAGTCCTGACTACGGTTGTGGGCATCTGGGGGGTGGACCAGCGGACGGCAGATCTCTCTGCTTCTCAAACAAAGCTACTCATCCCGTGCCACTGTGCTTACTGTTCCCAGGCCTCCCTTGGGAATCCAGCCCAGGTGTCTGCCTGCCCCCTCTGAACAAGCCTTCGGAAGCTGTTCCTCTAAGTTTCAAGAACATTTGATGTCTGTCTCTCGCATGAAGCCAGAGTTTCTCAGTTTGGGCTCTATTGACTTCAGGATCAGAAACTTGGCTGCAGACTGCCCTGTGCACTGTTGGATGTTCAGTGGCATCCCTGGTGCCTGCTCGCTAGACACAAGCAGCAAATGGCCGTCCCCATTTCAGTAACTAAAAGTGTCTCCAGGCATTGCCATATGAGTCCTGGGAATTAAAATACCCCAGTTGGGAATGGCTGCACTGGACTGTGAGTTTCACTGGGTCAGAAGCCATGTCTTGCTTGAGTCACATTCCTAGCACTTCCCATGATGCCTGAGTAGCAGCAGTCCATCAATAGATGTGTGTGTGTGTGTGTGTGTGTATCTCTTTCAGTTGTTTTACCTTTCAAATAAATAAAAATGAATAAATAAACTGATAAAATCAGGCGATTTAGCCTTTCCATTTTCATACCCTCTCTTTGCTGGAGCCTACCAGCTCCTCTCTTCCTGGGCATTATGCAGAGTGATTTGTTGTGAATTATAGTCACCTGTGGTGGTGTGGTCTCATTCTGTTTTATAGTTGTGGGGCCAGCGCTGTAGCATAGTGGGTAAAGCCACCGCCAGCAGTGCCAGAATCCCATGTGGGTTCCAGTTTGAGACCCGGCTGCTCCACTTCCAATCCAGCTCTCTGGCTTTGGATCAGCCCAGCTCCAGCTGTTGTGGCCATTTGGGGATTGAGAGAGACTCTCTCTCTCTCTCTCTCTCTCTGCCTCTCTGTAACTCCGCCTTTCAAATAAATAAATCTCATATATATATACAAATATATATATATATTACAGTTGTATTGCCTTCCACTATACAAAGGAGCTCGATTAATTGTCTCCCTCTGATAGACAATAATAAGTAACCTGGAGCATTTCTCATTTTGCATATGCATGAGTATAGTTGTAGAATAAATTTCTAGAATAAGAGACCTGGAAGAAGCTCCTGGCTCTTGGCTTCAGACCAGCCTAGTTCTGTCCATTGCGGCGGCCATTTGGGAGTGAACTAGCAGATGGAAGATCTCTTTCTCTCTCTCTCTCATCTCTCTCTTTCCTCTCTTTCGTAACTCTGACTTTCAAATAAATAAATTTTTAGGTTAATATGTAATACTTGTACATGTTTTTGGATACTGTGCAATATTTAACACACAGATATAGCTCTTGGCTTTGGTCTGGCCAGTCCTGGCTATTTTAGGCATTTGAGGAGTAAACCAGCAGATATCAGATCTCTCTCTCTCTCTCTCTCTCTCTCCCTCTGCCTTTCAAATAAATAGAATAAATAAATAAAAATTTTTGACACAAATCAAGCCTAGGCAGTTGAATACCAGTGCCTCTGAAATAGATTTCCCTAAAAATTCATTAGTCTTCAAGTGTCCTCGTGGGGTATTGTTCTGTTATCCTGATAAATGGGAAGTAGAATTCTCAGCGCTACTTAAGCCCTATTTAAGTCCCTCGATTGTAATATCCCTTTCCCCACTCTCTTTGGCCTTGGCTAAAGAGGAGCGCTCAAGCTTTCATTAACTTACCCTGACCTTTCATTAAGAGCTCGCTCAGCGGACAGCCTGGGTTTGGCTTTCGCTCCTTTCTAGCCACCTGAATGGCAGGTTGAATGGGTTGAATGGATCTAAGATGGTGAGAAGACTGGTGACTAATGCGTTTAGCCACCTTGTTTCCAGAACAATCACAGCAGTGAGAACCTTCTTGTCACGCTTGATCAACCTTGTTAAGGAGACCCGGGCAGGTATAAAAGCCCAGCGTGGTGTGTGCTTGCACATACGTGTTATTGAGGGCTCATCATAGGCCAGCCCGTCCAGCCCTCAGGTGACGGTAATGATTCTTGTTCATGATCTGTCATCAGCACTGCACTTTTGACCACCTGCTGCCTGGAACGCCTTTATCCCCTGGATTCGGTGACCTGACCCAACCCACTACCGCTGCTTTAAAGGCAGAATAGACTGGGAGTCAAGCCCAAGATGCTGGATGCAGTCGGCCTGTGTTTGATTCTGAGCTCGGAGTTTCTGTGTGAGTCTGGGCAAGTTGCTTATGTTCTCCAACTCCCAGGTTGTTTGCTATTTACCTCGCTTCATTGTGAGAATTGAAGAACTAATACAACACTTGAAATAGTGCGTGGAACACAATACACAGTTAAGCAACATTAGGTTGAATGATGGTATATTTCAGTTCTCTTTCTCCAGTTCCCTGGAAAGGATCCCGAATTTGCCTATTCATCTTCCTTTCCCTCGGATCTGGACCCCTCCCCACAGCTCATTGAGCACGTGCACAGGGGCACTTGTATGGGGGACTGTGGGCTGGTTCTGACTTACCTTCTGAGCTCCAGCCATATGGTAAGTGTTCATTTGGGGCCGGCGCTGTGGCATAGTGGGTAAAGCCACCACCTGCAGTGCCGGCATCCCATATGAGCGCCAGTTCGAGTCCCAGCTGCTCCACTTCCGATCCAGCTCTCTGCTATGGCCTGGGAAAGCAATGGAAGATGGCCCAAGTCCTTGGGCCCCTGCAGCCGCGGGGGAGACCTGGAAGAAGCTCCTGGCTCCTGGTTTCGGATCGGCAAAGCTCCAGCCATTACGGCTGACTAGGGAGTGATTCAGCAGATGGAAGATCTCTCTCTCTCACTGCCTCTCCTTCTCTCTGTAACTCTGACTTTCAAATAAATAAACAGATCTTTAAAAATAAGTGTTTACCAGAATGTACTGCACTGTCCAGATAGCACCGACATCCACACACCTACATCTCAGCTCGATCTTAGAAAAGCACACCCTTTGATGCCTCCCCACACTTTCATGTCCAAATAGTTAATGAATCCGTTACTATCTTTTGAGGGTCTTTTGCGTATCTCTATCCTTTTCCACTTCCATTGCTACCCCTTAATTTCAGTCTTTCCCATCTCATGCCTGTGTCATTCCAGTGATTTCCAGTGTCCCTTGTATGCACATCATCAAATACACAAAGGCCACATTGTTCTTCTACGCCGCAGCTTTTAGGGATTCCCCCTTGTCTAACCTATCAAATCCAAACTCAAGACTGAGTATTTAAGGCTTTCCTGGCTGTGGCTCCCAGCACCTCTTCTTCCTTCCCCCCACCCTCCCTCTGCAGAGCCCTCGTGCTCAGCCTGCCTTCCCTTCTTCAATCTCAGCAAAGACGGCTCTTTGTCCAGCTCCAGCTACGGAGATCCTACTGCCCTTCCAAGCACAGAATACACGCCACTTCCCCCAGAAGGCTTTCTCCCAGAAGCTCTTTTAGATGGTCCCCCCACTTTAATTAGACTTAATTTATTTGTTTGTTTCTGTGCTAGGTTCTCCTGGTAGATTACAAACATTTTATGTGCAGGGATCCTATTCTGTATATATTTCAAAAAGGAAGTAGGAAGTGCATGTTATGAGCAAAACTAAGCATGGATTTCAAAATTATGTGCATTCAAATAAGCTTACTTTGTTTTTCTTACAGATTTATCTTTATTTAAAAGGCAGAGTTACAGATACAACAGAGGACAAAGAATCTCTGTCCGCTGGGTCACTCCCCAGATGGCTACAATGGTTAGGGCTGGGTCGGACTGAAGCCAGGAGCCAGGAACTTAATCCAGGTCATCACATGGATACAGGGGCCCAAGCACTTGGGCCATCTTCCACTGCTTTCCCAGGTGCATTAGCAGGGAGCTGGGTCAGAAATGGAGCAGCCAGGACTCAAACCAGCACCCACTGGGGTGCTGGTGTTGCAGGTGGTGGCTTAACCCACTATAACACAATGCTGGCCCCTAAACTTATCTTTTAATTCCATTTTCTATGAATTCTTAAAGTTCTCTGTACATTTGCAATAAACTTACATTTCATATAGTAACTTACCTTTCTTTTACATTTTTATTTATTTATTTGAAAGGCAGAGACAGAGTTCCTCCATCTACAGGTTCACTCTCCCAAATGCCCCCAATTGCCAGGGATGGGCCAAGTTGTAGCCAGAAACTTGGAACTCCACCGGAATCTTCCACATGGGTGCCAGGGACCCAACTATTTGAACTATTACCTGCTACTGCTGCCCCCTGCTCCCCATT